CTCATCCATACTGCCAGATGCGCTCGTGGAGACTTGCGGAGCCGGGTGCGAGTATAAATTGGATTCTGAATTGGGAATAACGAACATGCATCATAAACTTACTTCAAATTAATCTGTTGGGGAGATAAAATGTGTAAGATAACGTTCACGTACTAACAAAAACATCTAAGAATGTGTCTTTTATTCTCCAGTACTGAAAACAGAACCGATACGGGAGCTTTTGATATGCGCTGTGACGCAGCTCTTGGAAATTACATTTTTTGTTCGTTGTCTGTCATTTCGCAGCTTAAGTTGCATACGGTTTTCTTTAGTTTTAATTTGCCTAATTTATCGATCTGACCCAGTAGACGCCATAAACCCTCTCTTTCTCTCTCCCGCTTTCCGTTTTTTTTTATTTATTTTAATGGTGGGTGTTTACGCAGTTGGCTAGAGCAGTGCTGGTTGGGGAGAACGGAGGTGCGCTCACTCTATTGGTTAGTAAGACTGCAACTCAAGGCTGGCAGTCATGCATATGCTCTGGAACAGAGTAATATCGCGTCCATATCGCAGGCTTTGCGATTAGGAAATCGCAACGTCTCAAATTGCGTTTTCGATTCGATTTCGATTAATCGCACAGCCCTACTTGGAACCCCAACCAAGGTGGTACTAAAAAAAGTACCAGGTACTGTACCCAGTGGAAAACCCCCCAAAAGTGAACCGTACCGTGCCGTACCATGCAGTGGAAAAGCGCCATTAGACGCACACTACAGGCGGTTTAGCCAATCACAACACACTGGGCTGGCTAACCAATCAGAGCCCATCGCCTATTTCTGAGGGAGGGGTTTCATACAAGACGGAAATGATCAGCCTGTTTCTCAGAGAAGGGACAGAGCGGTGTGGAATAAAGGTAAATTATGTGAAAAATAATGCATTTTTTAAAAAACAAAGCATTAACACATGTTAGGCTGCACCCCATAAACACAATCAAGCCTAGAAAAAAAACTGTGAACCACCCCTTTAAAATATAGACAGTGTGAGTGAAAAATAAATCAGTTTTTGTGAAAATAACCTATGGAATTTTCTTAAGTTAATTTATCCAGATTTTAAGTTTGTACTGACAAAAATACTAAGCATTTTTGTATTTTATTTTATTTGTTTTATTTACATTTTTATTTAAATTTAAGAAATTGTAGTCAGTAAATCAAAAACCTATAAATATTAAACTTTACAATATTTTTGCATCATAATGATGCTGACTTGCTTCTCAAGTTAATGTATCTTGATTAGGGCTGGGCGATATGGCCAAAACAATTATCACGATAATTTTTTACATATCAGTCGATATCGATAATTATCACGATAAATGTCAAATCTTTATTTCTTTCAAGTTTAAAGCCAGATTTTTGCTCCACAGTGAAAGTTGTAGAAACCAGACCATTAATTTAACTTAAAATAAATATCTAAATAGAAAAATTAATTTCTTAGTTTCTGCGTGTTCTAATGAGTGATATTGTTTCAAATCAAGAAACAGGTTTGAGTTGCCTGATAATATTAATAATAATAATAATATCACTTTTTTTCTCTTAGAAATGCACATTTGATAGCTTGAGTTAGGATGCAGAGGTAAATTTGTTCATTATCAAAATCAGTAACATCTGTAAAAATTGTAGCAACCTCAGTTTTATATGGTTACATTTATTCTGATCAATTTTTTTTTTTTTTTAATTAAGCATTGGTCTTCCATAGTAGCATACATTTAAATAATGATAAACAGTTAAAACCACACAAATAGCACCTCAATACCATGGTAACAATATAACTATATGGTTTTTAGGTAGCCTGTATGAAAAACAGTAGTCTAAAAACATTCAGTACAAATGCACACATGCTACTGCACTGCTTAGAGCTCGCGTGAGCAAGTAAACGCATCTGCTCTAGTGAGCTCGCGCCAATGAGTCGCGTTGTTTCGTTCCACTTTTGGCACATAAACGTTATATCGAAAATTTATCAAACTCTTCATATCGTTTTAGTGAGGAAAATTATATTGCGATAATTATCGTTATCGAATTATCGCCCAGCCCTCATCTTGATTTAAAGAAAGTTTAGATATTTGTACTGGGAAAAAGAAAATGTAGACATTTGTAAACAAGACAAAAATGATAAGCAAGAACTGACGCACCTCTCTTGAATTTCCTACAGATAATCTTTACATCAACAACCAGAATGGTTTCTACTACCATTCCCAGACCAGTCTGGACCGCTCTCCGCACGAATACAACGGCCGGATCCGTAACGGCAGCGTTTACAGCGCCCAGAGCACCAGCTCCCTCAACAACCCGCAGCACTACCTGCAGCCGTCGCCCATGTCGTCCAACCCCAGCATCACAGGAAGTGACCTCATGCGGCCCGACTACGTGCCTTCCCACCGGCACAGCGCCCTGATCCCGCCGTCCTACCGCGCCACACCCGATTATGAGACGGTCATGAGGCAGAAGAACCTCGGGATGATCCCGCCGGCCGAGCGCCAGAGCCACTCCATGAGGAACCTCAACATCGGCAACTCGTACGCCTACAGCCGGCCCGACCCGCTCGTGTACAGCCAGCCGGAGATCCGCGAGCACGGCACGGGCCAGTACCCCTTCCACCTCAACTACAGCTTCCACAGCCCCTCCCCGTACCCCTATCCCACCGAGAGACGACCCGTCGTGGGCGCCGTCAGTGTCCCCGAGCTCACCAACGTCCAGCTCCAGCAAGCGCAGGAATATCCGCCGCCCAACATCATCAGGAATCAGGTTTATTGGCCACCGCCGCCATATCCCTACCCTCACCCTCGACCCGCCAACAGCACCCCGGACCTGTCCCGCCATCTATACGTCAGCAGCAGCAATCCAGATCTGATCACGCGCCGCGTCCATCACTCGGTGCAGACCTTCCAGGAGGACAGCCTGCCTGTGGCGCACTCGCTGCAGGAAGTGAGCGAACCGCTCGTCACGACCCGGCGGCCTCACATGCACAAGCGCAACTCCATCGAGATCGCCGGGCTGGCGTATGGCCTGGAGAACATGAGGCTGAAGGTGAGTCGTTTCGGGATGTTAATGTGTCCTTTGGTGTAGGGGTGTGTGATATTGACACAAAATAATATCTCAATATTTTCTGGGATTTTATCGATAACGATATACACCGTATATTTTGCTGAGTGTGTTATTGTGCTAGTATCTTAAGGACTACCGTGGAGTAGGGATGTAACGATGAACCGCGAGCCGGTTGAAAATCGATTCAAATATGTTACGATTCAAATCGGTTGAGATGCCAAACAAATCGCGATACAATTGGAGTAGGAGTTTATATGAATTTATCTCTGAGGGGAACTGATTGTCTTTAGAAAAATGTACGTGGTATTTTCTTTTCATCTTGCCTCTGGACTAAAAACTGCTCATGCTGCATGTATGCTGCATCTTTGTTTGTATGATGATTAAAATGCAGTGGTTTATGGCGTTATTTTACTGACAAATGTCGAGAGCGCATAATTGTAGCACGGAAGCACATTAATACAATGCACGAGCGCGAATCTCTCTGATACACGCTGCTCTCGCCCAGAGAGAGTGCGCGCACTTAAAATGTGTCTCTCCTCTCACTCAAACTGTGTGCTGTGCACTCACAAATCTCTCTGTGCTCATGCGCTATAGATATTAATCCTTTTCGCTCCTGAATTAAACGTTGTCAAAAGTTATCAACCAATCAAATTTCAAAGATGGATCTGTAATTTCTTTACAATTTAATACTACTTAGTCATAATATTAGAAATTAATCGGGTGTTTGGATGATTTGTAAATAACCTAGTTTAATAGTTTGGTCAAACCCTTCTGAACGATTTATCTAAACAAACAAAAAAAGCATATGATTCTTAAAATTCATGTGGTCATATAGGCCTATACAGTGGGGCAAAAAAGTATTTAGTCAGCCACCAATTGTGCAAGTTCTCCCACTTAAAAAGATGAGAGAGGCCTGTAATTTTCATCATAGGTATACCTCAACTATGAGAGACAAAATGAGAAAAAAAAATCCAGAAAATCACGTTGTAGGATTTTTAAAGAATGAATTGGTAAATTCCTCGGTAAAATAAGTATTTGGTCATCTACAAACAAGCAAGATTTCTGGCTCTCACAGACCTGTAACTTCTTCTTTAAGAGGCTCCTCTGTCCTCCACTCGTTACCTAACTTGCACAATTGGTGGCTGACTAAATACTTTTTTTCCCCACTGTATATATTGTGTACTTGGATTGATATATATATATCTCTTCTGATTTTAGACATAACTATTTAGATATGGGTCAGATGCACTATTCCCTAAACCTATACTTAAGGTTTGGAGACCAAATATAACACTATAATTATTATATTTGCCATAACATTACTACATTATATTCTATGGGTTTAATGCATTTGCAGACAATGTAATTACATGTAACTGTCATATAACTGTATATTCACTGTTTTAGAGAAGAGTGCCATTGAATGTATAGCTAATATTAAGTGGATTTTCATTAAAAAAAAATCTGAACTGAAAACACTGGATTAAAAAACAACAATAACTCTCAATAAATCGCCAAACAGCAATGCTATTAGAACATTTATTGTTATATCTTGCATCATTTACATTTATTTTTACATTTGATGTTGATTTGAGGAGTTGTTACTTATTATTGCCATCATACCAACTGAGAATGTATTGCAATGATTTTAAATTCAGTTGAGGTATCTGTCTGACATATTATGACATAACATTGATGTTTTATATAAAGTCTTTAAGGCCATAGGCTATAATATGTTGTTTTTAGATCAATTGCTCAGAGACCAACCAGTTGGACAGAGGTTATGTACAAATCATCCAAGCACCCAATTCATGGCCATTTCTATAGGCTACATTTCATTAACATTGCAAAATATTGTTAAACTGGAAAGAAATGAAAGATCCATCTTTGATTGTCAAAAGAATTCCAATTGTGGAGGTCTGATTGGTTAAAGCTTTATTTATATAGTACCTTTTAAAACAGTGTTTACAAAGTAGCCTATTTTACAGAGAGATGCATGTGTGCATTTGCAGAAAAGATCAAAATACAAAGATAAAAGAGATATAGTAAAACAAAGTAGCTACAATAACCAGTTTGTTAAAACAAAAATACAACGATAAAAAAATCAAGGAAAGACTGCACAAATCTGTTTTGAGACTACTTTTTAAAAATGCATAATGATAACCTTTGACAATGTTTAATTCAGGTGCAAAAATAATTATCTATAGCGCATGAGCACAGAGAGATTTGTGAGTGCACAGCACACAGTTTGAGTGAGAGGAGAGACACGTTTTAAATGCGCGCACTCTCTCCGGAGAGATTTGCGCTCGCGCATTATATTAATGTGCTTTTGAGCTACAATAATGCGCTCTCGACATTTGTCATTAAAATAACGCCATAGTGGTTGCCTCTAATTTTAAGTGGAAAGAGCACAGACAAAGCCTTAGTGTGCTTATATGAAGAGATTGCGTTTATTTGTGTAACTTGCTTATTTGATTTGTGGTTTGTTTTAAAAATTTCAATTTAGTTTTGTTATATTTCAGTTTCACAAAGAAACGTGCAGCAATAGACACCTTCTCATTTACTGTATAATGTCTTCAATCTCATTTTGTAAAAAAAAATCGTGAGAAAATTGAATAGTGAAATCAAAATCATGAATTGAATCGAATCATGAGTTGAGTGAATCGTTACATCCCTACCATAGAGTTTTAAGGACTTTAAGGCCTCCTAAAGTTTTTGGCATCTTCATATTCTGTGTGGTGGCCAGTTCACACTGATAGAAATTAAGCTTTTCCAATCAGTTTAATTAGATTTTTTTTTACCTTTTATGGGCATTTTTACCTTTATAAAGCCATTTTTCTAAAAGGGTGCATTATCTTTTGAGTCAAATTCTTACATTTAATCAGCTAATTAGAATAATAAGATATTTGGGCTGTTACCAAGCAAATTAAATCAGTATCAACAAAATTCATCTTTGCAATGCAGAGGAAACACAGAAGCTGCGTCTGAAGTGGCATTTAGATGTATTTACACACTACTGTTTAGTGCAGGACATGAATGCATTTAACCGTCAGCAGATTCGCTGATGGACACCGGCATAAAAAAAATATGCATTTTATATTTTAAAAAGTTTTATATATATTAGTCTTTATATATTATATAGCATATTTTAAAAACTTTTTAAAATATAAAATGTATGTTTATTTGTAACAGTTATGCTAACAACAATAAAAATATATTTATGACAGTAAAACAGCGACATCTGCTGAAGGACACCGTGCTGCGTTGCCACGGGAACATGCCAGCTGAAGATAATGAGGAAATTACTTTGCTTGCTTTGCCAAATGCATTCCAAACGACTACATAATGGCACGCACTTGCCGTGCTCACTCCAAAGTCCCCACTCTAAGGGAATAGGGATGATCACTTCCATCTGGAATTTGCCCCATGAACCGTTCGGTACCGATACTCGTATCGGCATATCCCTAATATATATAATTAAGAATGCTTATAATTATGTAATTAATTCTTATATAATTATTAGCAATAATCTAAGATTATAAATTACTATTTTTAAGAAAGTTTATTTATTTTTTATTTATTGACATTTCTGCATCAACTACAGAGAGCTGAGACCCCGCCCCCTGTTGCCCAGGCGATGCCGCCTACAGCATCCGGCTCCGACATTAACGTCGTCCTGGAGGTTACGAAGCCCGAGGATGCAGTCATCAAGGAGGATGTCATCTACGGCCACAAAAAATCCCTGTCCGACGCCACGATGCTGGTGCATAGCAGCGGTGAGGAGGAAGAGTTCGAAGATGACAGCGGCCGACACACACCCCAGTCTCAGGATGCAGTGGGCGGGCCCGAGCATCACATGACACCGATGGGACGGCCCCTCGTAGATCCGCCTGCTTATCCCTTCAGCCATGGTATGGAGATGGTCCTGACAGGCCCTCTGGCGTACCAGCCCCATCCCATCATCTGCAATCCAGAGGACCTGGGGCAGATGCCGCCTCTGCGAGAGCCCGGACACATGGTGCCTTCAGTGTCAGAGGGCGATCTGAGCGGACAGGGACGCTTGAGACAGAAGAGAGACGTCTTTAAGAGACCCGTCTCTGACGTGCCACCTGCCAGAAGGAATATCGATGGTCTTCCACCGGCGGTAAGTTCAGTTGAAAATCAGAACTGAATCAGAATCAGTTAGATGTGCATTTGGGAATGAAACATACAATAGGTTTAGGTGGATTTGCACATTCACATAATGTTAAAAGCTTGAGCGTTTGAACGTTTGAAAAATATAAAGACATAAATATTATTGGAAGTGTAAAATTATTATGCTGTATTGTACATGTAAAATAACATTATTATAAATACTTTTTATTAAACAAAAATATAATTATAAAATAATTTTATATTAAACTGTAGAATTGTAATTTGCAAAAGTAATATGTATTCATAATTTTTTTTATACTTATTTTAAATAATAATAATTATTATTATTATTTTAAAGCTTTGAGTCCACTTTAAAGTCCAGCTACAAAGTCAAAATAAAGCTCTTTAATTTAAAAGATTAATAAGTTCTCTTAAAGATCAGAATTGAATCAGAATCATGAAAAATACTGAAAAACTGAAAAAAATATAAGACAAAATATTAGACATGAATATTGTAATCTGCAGTGTAAAATAAAATTATTATAATAAATATGTTTATTAAATAAATTCTAAAATGATGGAAAAATCATTGTTTGAAGAATTTATCTTCCAGAATCTGGCAGTAAATTTTGGGAGTTCATTTTTAGTCCATCTCGAAATTTTATCTGTAAAAGAAAATCTGCTTAATAATTATGCACACCTGAATATAAGACATTTTTCACTTCCAGCCTTCATGAATAATTATATATTAATTATAAATGATTAAATACAAGATTAAGATTGATGTCGTTTGGAATTGGTAAAATGTGCTTGGAAAAAAATATGATCAGAATATCAACTTGCATAATAATTATGTATGCACTGTATTTTTCCTCTTCTGCTGTCGAGGTAATGCAAGGAATGTTGTTATTGATTGTCAAGGCAGCCAATCAGAATTTAGCAGCCTCGTCTCCGATTGGCTGGGATTATGGCATATTGTAAGGCTGGGTTGTGTTGAGCAAGCGAGCCGTTGGCATTTAGAGAGCACTGAGGGGAGCAAGCTAGTGAAACACTGCACGCGCAAAAGAGAAGGTCTGCACAAATCCAAACTTATTTTAAATGCACAATTAATTTCCACGCGCTCAAAATACTTTCTTCTTTGCGAGACAAACATTTTCTCCACAAAACTTACTTTTGAATTGTGGCAGAGATGTAAGCCCATACACGTTGCAGTGTCACAAGGTGGCGCTTCAGACTGTTTCAAAGTGATTCTCAATCAATGAATAGCGCACCTTTATGCCAAGCTGTTGCTTATGAACTCGAGTTTGATGAATTATGACACTGTCTACGTTATGACCTTTATATAATATATTTTAGACCAGGGTTTCTCAAATCTTGCCCTGGAGGGCCAGTGCGCTGCAGAGTTTAGCTCCAACCCTGATCAAAGTCACCTACCTGTGATTTTCTAATGATCCCGACGACATTGATTAGCATGCTCAGGTGTGTTTGATTAGGGTTAGAGCTAAACTCTGCAGGAAAGTGGATCTCGTGGGCCAGATTTGAGGATCCCTGTTTTAGACGGTTGTAAGCATATTTTAATGCATATTTTATCACCTCATCTGAAGGAACAGCCCACAATAGTATAGACATTTCAAAATAAGAGTCCAGGTGTATTTCAGACTTGTGTATAATTAAAAATCACAAATGATTTTTTTTTTTTTTTTTTTTACACAATAAATTGTATTTAATTTAAAATCCATTTAATTCATAGGAAACTATTGTAGTTTCTGGCTGGGAGGTTTCCCCACAGGAAGAAAAGTCAAAAAACATTATTTGATGCATATTATTCAATATATAGATTTTACCCATTCACTGAGAGAGACACTACATGAAAAATCAAGGGGAACTCTACCATTTAAATGCTGTAATTTTGCATAATTTACAATGCATAATATGAGTATGTAATTAAATGTAATAGTAGCCTATATAATTAAAATTAATTTCAATAGGCCTAAATAAATATTGTTAAAAATCACACATTATTTGTTATTTGTCACATGTAGTAGACCATTTTTGTGCCGTGGGTAATAGGAGGATTTTCCACCCATCTACCACCGCAAGTATATTTCAAACCTGTGGGAAACACTGACTGTATATAGCTAACTGTTTCAATTTATTTCCTTAATATTTCTCTTCTGGCCTGTAGCCTACATAGTGGGGAAAAAATTAGAAGAAACGTATTTTGTGTTAAACAGGTAGTTTTTGAAAGTCTGTGCTTGAAATAAAGCTTTTTATTTCATTGACTTTTATTGATGACTGCAGTGTTAATGTTTTAATTATAGACCTATAATTCATTGCATAATAGACCTGTTTTAAAACATTTTAATTAAGAGGAGTAAATAGCCTAATCCATTTTTTTATCCTTGCAGCGTGTCAGTTATGTGGTAATTATTGCAGGGCAAATTAATTGTAATTTTAATTTAATAAAAGTAACTTCATAATAGGCCTAATAAAAATAAGATTGTAGCAAGCCTACATTAATTGGAAATGCCAAATCCTCTTAATATTGTTAATAATTGATGTTTTTGACAATATATATCTCTATATATCAATAATATCTCTGGCTATCGTCGATACAAGATCGTCTTTCGATGCAACCCAGCAAGGGGAGTTTTTTTGTTTGCATAATATATGTGTGTGTACTGTGTATATTTATTATGTATATATAAATACACACATATGCAGTATATATATTGAAAATATTTACATGTATATATTTATATTCATATAATTTAATATAAATATATTTAGTATATAAACATAAAACAGTTCTCTTAAATATATACTTGCATGTGTGTGTATTAATATATACATAATAAATATACATAGTGTACACACATTATGTAAGCAAACTTTTTTTTTGTATGATAATAATTGTTTGACAGCATATATATATATATGCTGTCAAACAATTATTATACAAAAAAAAAATTTGCTTACATAATGTGTGTACACTATGTATATTTATTATTAAAAACACAAATTTACTAACTTTAAAATGAAAAAAAATAATTATAATAATATTATTATTAAATATTAATAATTGTAATATTATTAAAATAATACTAAAATAACACTGATTCCTGTCACCTGTCTGGTCTGTAGTAATTTGAGTTTTGGTATTAATGCAATAAATCAAAGTTTGTTCTCCCCAGTTATTCATTTTAATATGTAATGCACTGTGTATTCTCACACACTAATTTCTTTATTTAAAATAACCTTAAAATAAGATTTCAGTAATTCACTCAACTTTAACTTGTGGAGCATAAAAAATGTTTAGCAGAATGTCCATGCTGCTCTTGTATTAATAAGTTACAGAGAACTTGTTCACAGATATAGAAATGAACAGTACGGCTCAGTTGTTAAAGGAAATGCAAACTGATTTTTGATTGCACATCATCCAGCTGGTGTGGCTTTTATTTTCGTTTCTTCTGCATGTCGAGTAGGTGTTTGTACGCTGGGGTGAGGCTGAACACTTGACTTTATACGTGTGATGTGAGGAATGCCGCTCAACAGGCTGTCAGACCCGAACAGCTGCATTCTGCTGCATTCTGCTGCTCTTCTCCACCATCTCAAGACGCCGATCCTCAGACTCTGTTTATCTCTCTGTCTCTCTCCATCGCTCGCTCCGATTATGAAGGGTATGAAGAAAGGACGCTCCGAGGTCAAGAAGGTGGGTCCCCTGAAGATGGCGTCTCTCAACGGCCTGACCCTGTCCAGAATGCCTCTGCCCGATGAAGGGAAGGACGACCCGGAGAACGCGTCTAATGACGAGCGGGTGAGTACTGCTTTCACTTTGACTGCTGGTTGGTGAAATGGTAGTTAGTGGTCGACTGAGTTATTTTTTTTTAAATGTTATTATTAATTAATAATTTTTTTTATTTGAATGGTTGATGTTGAGCTTGAATGTGCACAATTTTGATTATGAATAATTTTCTCATTTTTAATACACGTTTTAAGGTATTAGTTATTTTAATAAATACAAATATTGTATTTAATACATTTAAAAAATAATAAAAATATACAGTGTATTTGAATTATAAAACTTTTATAGTGAAGTCAGCAAAAAGTGTGTGTATATATGTATGTATGTACTAGGGGGAAAAAATCAAACACACGGTTCGGCACGCACTAGGACCACGGTTCTCAAATGACAACGCATATGTAATATGGCTTGCTATAAATAACACGTAAAACGAACAGGGTTCGGCTAATATATGTTTCTGTTGATGGATGTGCATTCTGGCTTCCAAAACATTACAACAACAACGATGAAATTTTGTGGACAAACCATTCACTCTTGTTCAATGCGAATGGCGTATGCTGGAATATGAGCATTTATTCCGTCATCACCGGGGGCTGATAGCACGCGCGCACAGGTGAGATCTGAACAGCACACGTTGATATCTGGGTGTTTAATCGATGATTGATTTGATGGCGCCGCAAAAGGCAGCCAGAACGCTGAGCTCCGCGTTTCTTCTATTGTTTTTGTTTGTTTGTTCTGTGTTTTGTCTTTCTTCTTCTATAAGTTTTACCAGAGACGAACTCCTTAACATTGAGCAGCACACCCCAGACAATATTTTTCCGGTTTTTGATTATTCGGACATTTTGTTGGACATTCTAGTCGGAGGTACAGCGGTGTTGTTCAAACACGTGTGCAGATGCAGAAGAGGGAAACGCGCCGGCACCCTGGTAAAGCTCCGCGCGCGGGGCTTTCGGACTGTGCTCCCAAGCATTCATCTTGCGAATGTCCGTTCCCTTCCTAACAAAACGGATGAACTTCTTCTTCTCACCCGCACCAACAAGGACTTTTCAAACTCTGCTGCACTGTGCTTCTCTGAAACCTAGCTAAGTGAAGCCATTCCGGACAACGCGCTTCATCTGCCGGGCTACAAGCTGTTCAGAGCGGATCGCATCGCGGAGTTAACGGGGAAAACCAGAGGTGGTGGATTGTGTTTCTACATCAACGAAAGTTGGTGTTCAGATGTAACAACGCTGAAAAAGGTATGCTGTCTTAATTTAGAGGCACTCATCATAAACTGTAAACGTTTCTACTCGCCGCGGGAGTTTTCGTCTTTCATTCTTGTGAATGTGTACGTGCCTCCGGACGCGTGCGTGAGCGCCGCGATCCAACAGCTGGCCGAACAAATAACTGAAATGGAGCAAATGTACCCAGACTCTATTTTAATCATTCTTGGAGATTTTAACAAATCAAATCTCTCCCGTGAACTGCCAAAATACAAGCAGCACATTACGTGTCCCACCAGAGACAGCACTAGAGCAAGTGGGACACTCACATAGACTCCATTGCAAAAAAGGCCCAGCAGAGGTTACAAAAACCTCTCACATAGACTCCATTGCAAAAACACTCATATAGACTCCATTGCAAAAAAGGCCCAGCAGAGGTTGTACTTCCTTCGCCAGCTGAGGAAGTTCAATAAACTCGTTTAAGCTTTGCCAGTTTAAACATGTAAGACCCAGAGGACACGAGCTCGCGCGCGCAGTGAGAAGATTTGTGCGTGCGCTCAACCCAAGCATGCAAACCTGCGCCTCAGAACTCGCGCAAATATTAATCTTTCTCTGAAGTATTGTGTTTAAATGGACAAATTCACACAAAAATTATGTCAAAATGCCTGTCTTGGTAAGTATCCTATAGCAGACATAGCCGGCTGAACGTACTGTATCAGTGCACTGGATCAGCGCATTCTCTTAAAGTGACAGCACTTTCTTAATATTAATCAAACAGCAACAAAAAATAAATCACTCACTGCTCTTGATTAAATAGATTTTGTAACTTTAATAAAGATTCATCTTTAATTTATACCGTCAAATATGCAATGCTGTTTTACATTTCATTACTTTATTCGATTTCTGTTCCTAAAAACTAATGTTAGACCTACCTAAAAAAAACTGAAAATCACAGTTTATTTTATTTGTATCTTTACTCTATTGTATTTATTTGTGCTGTTGCTTGTAGTTAGATAGATTATTCTT